CAGGGCCACGCAGGGCGGGGGTGCCGCAGGGCCACGCAGGGTGGCTCACCTCGGACAGCCTGGCAGGAGGACCTAGGATCCCTTCTAGGAGCCCCACGAGGTACCTTGGGGCAGCAGCAGGGGTGGCCCGTTGGGTCCTCCCCAGAACTGACCGCTTCCCAGCAAGGACCCCCGGCTGCCCCCAGCCCCCTCTCCAGGCCTCTGAGGGTGGGGTGGCAGCCTGGCGCCAGGAGCTCCCGGCGGCAGGCCTTTCTTTCCCCTCCTCCAGGGCTGGGAATAATTAGGTGACCGGGGACATAAATCACGGCTGGCCCGGTACATCTGCTGATCACATCTGCGGGCGCGTGTGAGCGTGAGCAGGAGCCTGGAGTGGGGTGCCCTGCAGGGGGACTGCACGCACCCCACCCGCCGCGCTTCCAGAGAACAGGACGGTGGTGTGTGATCCCAGGTCCCCGGCCACCCCTGCCCCCAGACACACGGGCGCATCGCCCAAGACCCACACACAGGTGGACGCCCAGATGGGCACACAGGCCCGTCCCTCACCCAGCCCCTGGGGAGGCAGGGAACCTGCAGGCTGGGGTTTGGTGCCACCTAGAGCCCACGTCCTGGAACTGCCCGCATGGACCAGGAGGCCCTGCTGCCCGGCCCTGTCTCCCTCGGCCAGGCCACTTTGACCTGGTGAAGGCCCCTGGTCTGCAGGACTCTGGCTCACACTGGAGAAGGCACAAGGTCAACCGGCAGCAAGGTCAAGGTTCAGGGTGTAATGTGACGCTTTCAAATCAGGGTCAGCGCGTCCCCACACCAATAAGCCCAACCCGAGGGGCGACTGCGCCAGGAAGCTCCTTCTCACCTCGCTGCAGGGGGAGGTGGGTGCTGACCGCCTGCGGGGACCCTGCTCTGCCCAGCGTCTCCTCCCTGCACAGCGGACACTCGGGCTCACAGCGTGTCCTGCAGATCACACAAGGAGGCCGACAACGGAAAGGGCAGCAGTGGGTGTGCTGCGCAGACCTCACCACCCACGGTCAGCAAAGCGTGCCGGCCCTGGACGGTCAGCGCTGGCCTGGCTGCACCTTGAACCTGAGGCTCTTCTCGAGGCCCGGCCCCTCCGCAGCACACTCGGCTGTCCCCTCCGGCTCCGGGCAGTGCGCTGGGTCTTGGAAGGTGGGCCCACCTCCTCGGGTCTGTCAACCCAGGGGCTCACCTCCATGTGCCCCGTGACTCAATCTGCCCCTCCACCCACGCTTCCTTCAGCTCTGTGCTGCCCGGGCTGGACGCCACCCTCCTTACGACCTCCTTGCAGCAGACACGGCCAGCATGACCCTGCTTCTCACCTCCTCCCCAGCTAGAGACGCCCGCCACCTGACTGAGGAAGCAGCCCTGCCCAGCCGCCCCCACGCTGGTCTGTGTGCCAGCAGCGGACAGTCCCTGGCCCCAGAACATCTCTCGTTAAACCAAACACAGAACACATTGCCGGACACGGTGGTACCCGACTGTGGGCCCAGCTACCTGGGAGGCTGGGGCAGGAGGATGGCAGGGTGGAGGCCAGCCTGGGCAACTTAGTGAAACCCGGTCACAAGACTAAAAATGAAAGGGCTGGGACGTGGCTCAGCGGCAGAGCACCCCCAGGCTCCGTCCCTGGTACCAGAAAAGAAATTAAATGCCAGGAGACACGATTCTAAAACCACTCAGTGTGAGACGCCAGTTAGGAGTGAGAGTCCCCAGATGCCCAGGACTAGCCACTGTCCAACTTCCTGTCACCACGCCCCACATGTGCACGCCCACACGTTCCCGACCCCGGGGTGGCTCACAGCACCAGGCCCCGGCCCGCCCCTCGCTTTCCCCTGTAAACCTCCCTGGAACCTCCACTCCAGGGGTGCCCACGGCGCAGAGGCCCAGGCCCCGCACCCCCACGGC